AACAAACATGGCAGCTGCAACATCATGCTTCAGTCACAACTTTCTCAGTAAAAACAGAGAAAGTTGTGAGTACCGACAGGAATGAGGATGAGCAAATATGAAACATACCTGCTTAAGAGCTGCAACATTCTGTGTTACAGAAATGTATTATCGCCCAATTACTGTTACAAAAATTATCTAGGTCAAAGGCCCCATTTCCCCTGAATCCAGTGCATTTACTGAAACGTGTGTGCAGCAACTGTAACGACAGGGCGCACAACAGCAGTTCAGCTGAAACTGATTAGATTATGCAGCTTGATGGAGCTGCAGATCGAGCAGTTTTCTGCATTTGATTCACAACTGGGAAAAAAAGATTGGTAGAAGATTGAATTTACTATTCTTAGTCACTATTTCTACAAGTATTATCATTCACTTAAATGCAGCAATTGATAACAATCAGCTATAATTAACAGTTTTTAGATAACCCAATCACTACAGATCAAGCATGATGGTAGAAATAGGAAGATACCATCCAGACGCCCCGGCCCCACTGACCCACTTCTACAATCATAAAATATGAAGGCTCTCTGGGTAGATTCTCAGCACACACACCTGTTTTCAGAGGAACATGGGTGCAGTCAGTCTGTTTTTCTGGAAGACGAGCAGCTTGATTTTCTGTCGTGAGGCCCCATTAGAAATCAAATACCATTTCTTGCCCACAAGAATTTTACTGTGTGCTTAGAGTTTCAGTTTAAAACCAGTTGTGCTGTTTGTGTCGTCATAGTGGAAGGGAATGAGAAACAAATAATTGATTGAGACGTGTCAGTTGTTTTATCGTTACCTTCACTTGCAATAGAACATTGCAAGTGAAAATGCTTGTGTTGCATTTTATGAAACTAATTCAAAAGCGACAGAATTCAAATTTGACAAAAAACAAAGCTATACCCCTCAACTGTCGTGAGGACATGGGTGTTCTCTTGAGTTTTGGGGGTGACAGTTAGGCAGTTAAAAAAAGCTTATTTTAATTCAAAAATAAATAAAATAAAATACAACTAACTAAAAATGCATTGAAGCATATTCTCGTTGTTCATGTGTTTACAGACTAAAATGGTGGGAGGATACAATTTTGATGCATAAATTTATCATGGGACACGATACTTGGCAAGTTCCAATCACTGATTGATTGGTTGGGACATCTTAAGGATGCCCAATATATATCTGCATTAAAATCGGTATCTCAAAACTGGCCTAATAACCAATGTTTATCTCCATCCTGTTGCCATTTGTGTTATGGAGAGAGGAGGGGACTGCTTGGTCATTTGACAGTGATAGTGATGCAGTCCTGGATTGTTGAGTTTTTAATTGAAGCAGAGAGGCAATGTCAGCAGAGTTGTAATTTTTTTCACCATGTTGAAAGGGAAGAAAAATATCTATGTGTAAATATAACCCATCCATCCATTTTCTTTACACCCTTGTCCCTTATTGGGGTCGGGAGGGGTGTTGGTGCCTATCTCCAGCTAACGTTCCTGGCAAGAGGCAGGGTACACCCTGGACAGGTCGCCAGTCTGTCGCAGGGCAACACAGAGACACACAACCATGCACACACAAACTCACACGTAGGGACAATTTTTTAGAGAAACCAATTGTTTTTGGACTGTGGGAGGAAACCGGAGTACCCGGAGAAAACCCACGCATGCACAGGGAGAACATGCAAACTCCATGCAGAAAGACCGGGGTCGGGAATCGAACCCAGAACCTTCTTGCTGCAAGGCAACAGCTCTACCAACTGTGCAGCCCTCATAAATATAACCCATAAAGTAATAATAGCAGATAACAGGCAAGATTTAAATACAAGAGCATCCTCAGTGTGTCACTTATAATAAATGACTACAACAATATCCTTAACTCTATATTATGTTAAACTGGAACTCAAGGATAGTAGTCCTTGAGTTCCAAGGAACTCAAGGACTACTTCTGCCTTCAAACTTTTCATATAGGCCATATAAACTTCACTTTTACATGCTATGAGAAGTCAGCAAGCAACAAACATCTGCAAGTCTTGCTTTCTAACATCTACTTTATTGTGTTTAAATAAAATTAGGGCAAATGCCTTTTAATTCAGTTGGGATTTTCATCAAAGCCTTCTCACCCTGCTGCTTATAGGTCTGTAACTGAATGTCTGTGCTGTAATAGTCTCCCCGAGGACAGAAACAGAGCAGTCCTTTTCCTCCTACACTTGGTCTATTCAGTGCTACAAACCTTGTCACTGCTCCTTTGAGCTTTGACAACAGATGGACCAACCGTTTTTGTCACCTGACCTTGTCTGTTGCTGCACTGCACTCTTGTATTCACTGCAGACCATGCACACCCACTCCATAGACATGCAGCTAGACTCATTAAATCTAGAATCTAAATTCTTACAGCATTTTGAGGTCTGTTTCTCAAGTTCTCAGGAAAGGAGAGAATTGTTACCAATCGGTTCAGAAGCCACAGAAGCCAGAAGCTAAAAGAATACCACAGAATCCTCAACTAGCTCGTCAAGAAGCATAAACTATTAGTCTAATCCGAGGATCAAGGCCATATCAGGAAGGCTCATTAATAGCCTTTCAGCTGAATTCAAAGGAACACGATTAGCTTGTTCCAATCACTCCATCTACCTGCCAGACTCCAACTTTATCACAGTCATCCTAAACTGCCTCAACACACAGCACCTGATTCTTTAGATTTATTACAACTGGGTTTTTTTTTTTTTTTACTTAGAATCCAGCCTAAATAATTGACAAAGTAACATAATTTTGTTATTTATTTTGATTCAGAAACAAATGCAGCCTTTCACTCAAACTCGTTCAGATTTCTGCAGAGTTAGCTTTGGTCAAGTACCAGTATGAGGGTATATAAGGGCTTTAAAAAAAAAGTTACAGGCTCAAAGATACAAACATTTTCCATCATACTAATCCCACGGTCTGTTTTGTGAGATTCCAGAAAAGTAACAGAGTGACCAGAGATGCCTGTTGCTGCACACTGCTGTTCAGATGACTAAAAGAAATCTTCTACACCTCTCCCACACTTACAGAAAAGGTAAATTTCAGACAATTAAAAAAAAAAAACACAGACAATCATCATGTGAATACTAAAATGTAACAACTAATGGAAACTGCTTGTGGTTCACTTTGAAATACCCATTTATTTTCATTTGCTTTCATTTCTACTGGAGTTTGACAAACTTAAGAAACTCGGTTGTGTTTTCTTCGTCCTTTTAAACTGGAATTCTAAATTTACGTCAGTTTCATTTTAATTTTTCTCGTTTCTCCTTCTTGTTTTATTGTTTCAAATAGAATGTTAATATGTTTCAGGGTTTGCTTCAATTTGGTCTAACTTGCAAAATCTTAAAACTACTTGATAAATAAGCTGACATCAACATCGACAACCATCACTTTTCTTGAGGTAACACCGATTGAAAACTACGATTAGGAAGCTAGGAGAAGCATGTTGTCAGTAGCTGACTGCAGGCTCTACTTGACTAACCAGCCAATATTAATTTTACTCTAAGAGTAGAAAAGTAAAAATGTGTGATATTCTGCCCAACAAACATGTTTAACAAAAAAACAGTAATTTTAATGATGCATAAAGATGTCCAAGTCTATACCCATAAAACCCATACCCTATATTTCAATATGCTAATATATGAAAACAAGTACATCATGTACATTTTGCATCTTGCATGAAAGTCAATGCTATCATACAATAAGAATCTTATAGGGCCCCATGCCTAAAGCAGTATGCTAATTAGGATTCAACCGCTCCAATCTTTCTTAGACTAACTTTCCTCAAACAGTACTTTCTAGCCAACAGTAACCCTGATGAGGTCTTTGTTGAAACTCGATTTTCTTTTTACAAGACACTTGCATACTTTCCCTTGGGACGTGGCAGAGATAGGGGGCATGCCTCTAAAGTCAAGCAATCACATGTCAACTCGAGGATTGTTAGAAACTGCAGCATACACACCCGTTAATTCCTCACTCCCTGACCCACACACCCAAATGCCTTTCTGTGGTCTAACAGCTTCTGGCAAAGTAAGGTGACAGCTCTGGAGACAACGACATTCCTCCACATGCACACACTTTGCTGGTAAGGTACTGACCACATCTAAAGCATAAGATGATAATAAAGGCGAGCCAATGAATGATGGTAGATTCAATATGCCTTACATTTCTAATTGTACAACAGAAAAAAAATATATAAATGCCACTAACTGCAGCAGCATAAGCATCATTTTACAGCAGACTTTCAGATGTGTTGTTTGGATTCAACTTGATTAGATTTCTATCAGACAAAAAATACCTGAGATAGAAACAAATGATGGAAAATCTTGCAGGAACTTCACTTGCAAGGTTTTAAAGCACATAAAAGCTGCTTAAAACACCAGCAGAAGGACCTCTTAGACAACATTGACTCATTCTGAGTTAATTGCTGTGCTGCCCTGAGTAACAAAAGATACATGCTGTACTACTTTAAATGCCATAACCTGAACATTTGATGCAGCAACTAGTGAACTGCAGTGCAACACTAAGATCTCACCTGAGAGAGTACGTATAGCCGGTGTTCTCTGGAGCACATTGTGGAGGTGTGTATGTGTGCAGCTGGGAAAAGTCCATGGTCATTCTTCTTTGATTAGACTGAAAAAGTTATTGTGCAAAGGATAGGACTCCCTTTAGTCACAGATGACATGTCAGGAGTAGAGTAACAAAGAAAAAACTACTTCTAAAATACACTTGCTGCTTTGTTCAGTCTGTCTCTTAGATGTACTTTTCTTAATTGTAGCAATACTGATCTGAAGTTTTGGAAATGACTCACTACTCCACAATGAAAAAAAAAAAAAATTCTGGTTTGAAAACAACTAATAAGTTCTATGCCGTACAGTCCTGTCAGAAAACTCAGTCCTATTGGACACCTAATGAGTATACGGGCATCCCCGTTTCTCTGAAACACAAAAATGCCACTGTAAGAGAGAGTTGGCAGACCTCTTCCTGCATGCTGGCTCTGGTTGATGAGCAATATGGACACCAGTGGAGCCGTGATGAATGGCCAGCCTCTTCTGCTCCGGTACGGGGAGTGGTGGAGACAGGGCGATCCTATTTCCGTTTGTATTAAGCAGACTAACCATAAGGACAGCCAGTCCCTACAGTGGAGACTTCAGTAATGCTTGGTATTACGAAAGCCCATAAAACGGCAGAGGGTGGGGAGGATCCTGAAGCAATGGGCGGGAACCAATGGGCGGGAAGCAACGCGCCTAAGAGCTGAGCTTCTGTGAGTGAAGCCTGCTTAATGTGAACAGGCATTACTGCTACACTGACTATTCTCTATGAAAATTAAGCCATACATATTTTCTGCTTGCTGGTTCTGCTTTACAGAAACTTTAGAGGACATAGCAGCACATGGAGTACTGATAAAGACTGCTGTTATTTTGTACATCCTTTTTTTTCCAATCAATCATTCTCAGAAGGAAAGTAGAAACACTTCCCGTTTAGAGGAAATACCAGTATTAAACAACAGTGCCCTGCAAAAGTATTCATACCCATTTAAACTTTGTTGACCAAAACAACCGTGCAATTAATTGTAAAGTAAAACCTAAAGCAAGAATAGTTTTTACTACTTTACAAGTAATTTGACAAAATACGTCTGGAATGTATTTAGATTCCAGACGTCTAGTCTTTTAGAGATGTGTCTCTATCAGTTTTCCACAGCTGGAGATGGAAATATTTTCCAATTTGTCTCAGAAACAGCTAAAGTTAAGATAAGCTTATAGGAGAGCCACTTTGAACAACAATTTTCTTGGAACACAATTTAAATTGGATTTTAGTTTAGTTAGTTTTCTAATTTATCATTTTAGGTGTTTTGAAGCAAAGAGAGACTCACCCTCAAGGATCTATCTAATTCATACTGCCTTTGTCCAACTTTTGGTTAGGTAGATGGT